GGGGCATATGAACGATGCGGAGTCATACAGACGACTTCCTGCTATAGGCCATGGAAGAAGAAGGAATCTACCACGACGAGCAAAGCTGCTAGCTGATGGGGGATACGCTAACGCCCCACCTCTTATCACTCCAAGGCGTATTGCTTACAACAGACGAYAACAGAATGCCAACAGAGCGCTAAGGTCGCTTCGTATCCGCGTAGAGCACGCCATTGGATTCCTGAAAATGTACTCAGCGACCTCGGATATTTTTCGACACATGAGGYCATTTCAACCCTTTGTAATAGCAACTTGTGGTGCTCTTGCTAATAGAAGGAAAAGAATTCTAAAAACACTGTAATGTTATATACGTTCTTTTTGATATACTTTTCGGAAAAGTAAAACAAACTGGCGTAACACATGTTTATATTAGTGAGAGCAGAAAAATTCCTAGCTTAATACTGTAAACAAATCTCAAGATATGTTGATACTACTAGCGCTCTAGTCAGTTGTGACTGTTTTGGTGTGTTGAATACAACAGGTGTATGATAAAGTTCATAAGTATATGACGTTTGGGACATTAGTTCTTCGTAGTAAGAGGATTGACTATTAAGGACCATAGTAGTAATACGAAGGAGTAACGTCAGTAACAATAGTTACAAACTTTCTTTCTCAGTTGTTATTTACCTAATAATACATTGTACTAGCTGAGAAAACAGTAAGATAAGGAGTTTTGAAAATTCTATTGGTTATATCTGGAATAAAATAATGATAGCTCTTTTTAATTTATGCTATTCCGGTCGGATTATAGAATGCGGAATATACTTTCCCTATGCCGCTAAATCGGAAATGTCTAATGCAAAGTAAACTTTCTCGTCTTATAAATAAGTGCCTGAAAATCCCAGGCACTGGAAAACAAGAATCAGCAGTTACATTTTATGATAATTTATTCAATTTCTTTACACCCAACAAAGTATCAAAATAGGAATCTTGAGAGGTGGAATTTAATGATAAAAAAAAAAAAAGATCCTAAAGGGAACAATGTCATGTAAGAAAAGGGATATGATTTTTTTAAGTTCTCATATAAGTATATGAAATAGAATAATAAATGTGGCGTAAAAAAATTTTAAAACAACTGATTAAAAATATAAGGTTATGTAAAAAATAGTCAAACCATGAGATAGGCATAAAATGATGATTGCGTATAAAATGCTTTTTAAACTGAATCCAAAGTAGTATTTCAACGTTTCATGTCTTTAGGATGTCAGATTTTTTTGTGTTGAAGAGAAGCCAGAGCCAAAGCTGCTTCGTTAGAGCCATCTTTTATTATCTCACATGGCCAGCCATCCGCCGTTCTTGTCATCGTGTCTTCAAGCATCATACGATTCTGACCTGGTGAAAGCTTAACAAACGCACTATTCTCTGACTGAATAGTCAGCTTTCCTAACAGAGGACTAACGCACTGCCTTGGGCTTTGGACCTGAGGTGGTGTTGTGATTCCAGGAGGCGAAAGACTCAAGTAATAAGCGAACGAGTCGTTGTTCTGAGGATAAAGGCTGACTGCATGGGTTGGGAAGCGAGGGTAATCGTAATATGGGGAACCATTTCGTGTTGTTTGCGAAGACTGATGGTTAATACTGCTTGTGGTGATCGTAACTGCTTCGGAATTGACCAAGGCTGCTTCAAAATTGCTAAGATTCCTTTTTCCTAAAAGATCAATGCAGGAACAGTTTGTCAAACAAACTAGATCACCTGCAAAACACGCATGTCTTCGGCCGGCGCGTAGCTGTGGATCGGAGCTTATTGCGGTTATAGCTTATAATTTTAATGCGAACTATTCTTAAAATCGCGATAAACAAATAAAGTACGAAAGCCTTTATAGAAAAATACTTCGCCAATGCCATTTAGTTTATGAATCTAAAAAATACAATGCAGTATGAACGAGGAACGTACAAACGAATCATTTGAACTGTTTGTCAACGAAAGTATACTACATCTAGGATCGACAGTTCACAAAAGAAGAGAAAATACAGAACTAGATTGATTTAACTAAATTTATAATGTACTTAACAAATTAATATAGTCAAAACCTAACTTAAAACAGCAATCGCATTGAAGCTTGAGCTTAAATATGTAACGATTCGACCATCTTAGCTTACCTGTTAGGTTGTTGTTCGAGGCAGTGAAAGAATTCTCCGTCGTCTTCGGAGGGTTTGTGTCCAGTTCTAAATCATGGATTCCTCGATTCTTTTTGCTGTAATCCTTAGAATAGATCTGCTTCATCTGCTGTCTTCGAAGACGGACTTGTTTTCTCATAACTTCTCTTCTCTCTCGTCCTCGAATGCAGTCCAAACAAGCACATTGGCTGTATTTGCATTGATGTTTGTGGCCTCTGAGCTTCGAAAATTCCCCGTGATTTCCACATAAAGTACACGAAGGATTCCTTGATCGTCTCGTAAGCTTAGAATTCTCGGGATTCATCTTGCTTCGAGTGAAAACGCTGAGAATCTAGGAGCTAAAATTCTTACAGCGATGCAAAGACTGGAAATACGGGGAGCAAGGCGAGAAGCAGCGTGGAGTGGAACATGTGATGTATCAATGACAGCTGTCAATCATGTTAAGAAAGGTTTCCGATTGGACGAAAATTGCTGCGATCTTATTGGAGTTTTTTTTACAAATTTTTTTTTTTTTTTTTTTTTTTTTGATTCGTAAATAATAATTTTAATTTTTGGCGATTCACTTTTAAATGAATATTGATAAAACAATAAAATTATGAAACAATTAATATTAAATGCCCATATTAAAATGACACACTAAAATTGTCAAATTTTTTTTAGAAAATTCCTGAATTAATTTCAAAGTCTTTTTCCCTTATGAACATCGAACGTCGCTCCAAAAAGTTCATAAATTTGAAACCATTAATAGCTGCACACTTGTCGGTCGCGTTGACATATTAATTCATTGGAATAATGGCGGGCTTTCGGAGCCCGCTTCTATCGATATCAGTCCTGTGTCCTAGGGTCTGTTTATGAACAGGGACTTCTTCAACAATGAACCGAAGATACCAAAGTCTTTCTCAAAATATTTTGAATAGTCAAAGTTCTTCTTTTAAATCAAAAATGGAGGTAGCTGATATTCTTTTGTATCATTATTTTCTATTAAATTTCCGGGGCTGCAGATTTTCTGACAGTCCCTGAAATCTTGGCAGCAACTTTATATTACTTATTTCACTGGTAAATATATAAATATAGAAAAAGGTACTCACATATTGCGTATTTTTCTCTTGTATCTCATCTAGCATCGTCTAGTATAGTAACACTGTTCAAGTCCAAATCTGCGATAACACAACCGGTCAGTTCACCTCAACATACCTACTGACTGCTCGAGGTGTGAGGTATGCATAAATGTTTAACCAAATACTTCATTTTAGGCATCAAAGTTCAAGTCAAATAATTGACACAGGTAATGAATTTTGACTTTTTTAGTTGAAACTAAAAAAGGCGAAAAGCATTTTTTTCTGCTTTCATTGTTATAATTTATTTTTTTCTTTTCTTTCTTTTCTTTTTAATTATTAGAAAGACTTTCATTTACTTTTAATATTTATCCCATATTTTACTTTCATTATTATATATTTTATCTTATATTCCACAATTTTTTTCTTCAAGGTTACTTGGTTGTAATCTATTTCATTCTTCATTTTGAATAAATTTTCAGCCAATCTACTAAGTATGTTCTTTTTTTCTGATTCTAGTGAAAGATCTATTTTCACTCCTTTTATACCTATTTTACTATCTCTTTGTTTATCTCAACTTAAATTCCTTTTACTTTACAATTTTGTGTTTTACTGATGTTGTTTATAAGCATACCAGATATTTTTAGTGGGGGGGGGGGGAGGTTATACTGAAATCTCAAGACTCTAGTTTTGCTCATTAAGATTCTAAAACACAAAATTGAGGATGGGGAGGGTGTGAAAGCCTGAAGTAGGTCTTTTCTTATATGCTTTAAATATAATTTGTATAGATGGAGAGGTCAGGTTGCTATGCATGCATTCTCTTCACTAGCCCTCCATGGATCAAACCCTGTCACCTCACTTCAGAGGGGTACAAACATTGTGTCAACCCATCCTTTGGTGCGACAACCATTGTCACTGTACTATTAGAGGGTCCTGAAGGGGTAAAATGGGAGCTCCGATCATTCAGTATAAACTATAGCAAACTGATAAATATTCTTGCCCCCTCCCCTCCCACCCACCACTCCCCCCCCCCTCTTGTTCTAAGACCCTCCTATTAAGATGGTAGCTGCAAAATAAATCACCCAATCTCATTTCATGATTCTATTTTAATAATCATTTATTTGAATTACTCATTAATAAGATAATTTCCATAATCAAAAGAATTAATTTATTTTAAAATTTGCTGTGATATTTACAAGGCAAGAAGGCTTTGCTATTAAAAACCCAATACACCATTTTTGATATAGCAAACATGGTGCATAATTGGGGCCAAACTTCAGTAAAACAACTTTATTTATTCATATTTAAACATGTTTTACCTTCTGCATCTCATTTGATATTTTGCATCTCATTAGGAATCTGTATAAATGTATACTACAACCTTTCTGCAATCAAGTGTTTATATATATATATATATATACAGAATATCACTGTGAAAGCTAAAGATCCTAGATTTGAGTTAGTTAAACAAAGTGTTTTTGAACTCAATAAAAAAAATAACACTAAAGAGAAACTGCATTTATTATCATCGAACTAAAGATTGCTTTATCAGTTGATTGAAACCCAGCAATACACCTGAACATCTCCCAGAGTGTAAGTTTGTGAAATTACAACATAAGCTAAATGATTGGAATTTTTCTCATAAATATCCATTGAATGAATTCTAGTATATACATAATCAACAACAATATATAAGAATGAAGAAATTTGCAGCTATCCCTAAATATGCTGCAGTCACTTGTATTTGATGTTACAGAAGTGGACACAGAGCAGTTTCAAGAGGGGAGAGGGTGGGGGAAGGGGGGAAGGGGGAGGGGGAAGGAGGAAGGGAGAAGTGGGGTGGCTGTTACCTAGAAAGGCATCATATAGCAGCCTTTTTATGATTTATCTTTTTTATTATTATTTTCAACTCCATAGAGGCTTGACTAGCCACCCACTAAAGCCCCATGGATCTGCATTACACTTTATTTAATTTGTAATTGTAATAAATTTAAGAATCTAATTTGTAATTGTAATAAGAATCGTTTTCAGTGAGCATGCGATTTTTTCCTGAATTTCTTACCTCCTTTGGTTTGAACCTTCTTTTGCTTTAAACACTGGAAAAGATTCTTAAACTACAAACTGGCTTATTTCTTAAACATTACAAAGCCATTCAGAAATTATATATTGTAGCCCTGATATTGTAGCATACTGGTTATTCTTATCAGTCTACGGTAACTGATTGTTGCATTGGTTGGTTAACTCTGGTATAGTAATTAATTGAGAGTTTCTCTCTGGATTAAAATATATGATCTAAAAAAATATCTAAAAAAATATTGAAAATAGGTAAAAAGGAAGGTTCATTATTTATGGACAAGAGGTTATACAAGTGATTAATTTTAATTAACAAAATAATTTGTAGGTTAATCTGAATGATTTGCATGTGTAAACAATCAGAAAACCCAGACTCTGGTCATCTAACTAAGGCCATCTCCAACCCTGCCTTGATTGTACAGTAAGCAGCATGCCAGACAATGGCACCTTGTGGCAGCTGTAGCAATTAATTATTTTTAAAGGGCATTAAGATGGCAATGTATACGTATAATGCACTATTCAAGAACCTTGAGTCCTCCATCATACTTTCTCACAGCATCTTAAACTGTCTTGCATTGGATGGTAAGGATATTTGCTTTTTTCTTTCTTCATCCTGATTTTCTTGGTGGCTGCTCAGATAAGCCCTCTTACTATCATAGGAGTCTGTCTTGGCTCGCTAAAAATAACAAAACTCTATAATTAGTAATATTAATATCAAATTAATAATTAGTAATATATCATTACAAATAAGCCGAGAAGTTGTTTCAGTGTAATCAACCTTGTTATTCCCTCAAGAACAAAATTATTTGTTTGAGATGTTTATATTCACGTCTTCTCATGTGCAACTGAGCGCAACCTTTAAACAAAGAAATGATACTCTAGGGAATAACACATGGTCTGAAAATTGAAAGCATTAAGCCCAATCCGAGGAGGTCAGTATTAGCCATCCCTTGACTTTAATCAGCCCAGAGATTGTTGGAGGTTTCAAAAAAATTTAAGGTTAAACTAGCACTCTAAACATGAGTTTCAAATAGTCCCCTTCACAGTTTCCTGTGCCATCTTGAAAAATAGTTGAAAGAAAAAAGTGAATAATATTGTTTAAAGTGTTACAAATGGTCTTTTAATCATTGCAAGCTCACCATTTACCAGTTAGGTCATTTGCTCAATACTGAGCATTTTAGACCATACTAAATAATTATTAAAATGATTAAATAATCAACATATTAATAATTAGAATAAATAATAATAAATAGTAATTGTCCAACAAGTTAATAAATATCTGCAACTGCATTCTTAAATGCTGCAAGTGAGGTGGCTAGTGCTGCTTCCTTTGGGAGTTGGTTCCATTCTGAAAGTGTTCTTGGGTAGAATGAGTACTTGTAATAATCCTTTGTGGCCATAGGCTGAGTATACCCGTACTCCTTGTTGAAACGGGTAGAATAGGAATGACCAAGTGGCTTAATTCTAACATCATCTTGACAAACCAGCTTATTTCGTATCTTGTAAATCATAGATAGTCGTGCTATCCTTCGTCTGCTTTCTAGCGTCTTCCACTTCAGTACTGAAAGCATTTCAGTTACACTGTCCTTACGATCAAAGCGTTTTGTCTTGCCTCGGTGAAAGGGTATGGCCACCTGTGGCACAGGGAACTGTGAAAGGGACTATTAATTTGGCGCAGGTCATAATATTTTAATTTAAAGTCTTCTTGTTATAAATTCAAATTTTGGGAAAAAATGTACTTTAAATTGCAATGTCTGGTAATAGGATTAATCAACTAAATAATCAAATTATCAATCAACACTAGCTTACATACAGTACCCTTCTAGAAGCTCCACCAAGAGGAAGTTTGTTAAAGATTGGCTCTGAACGGCGATTACTTTGCTTCTAAAAATATCAGCATGTTACAAAAAAATTGAAAATTATTCTTATTAATTAATGATAATTTTGAGGACTTCCAAGAAAACTCACCCACTTGTGTGAACTTTCAAATGTATAATAGACCAAATTAATACTGTCCAGCACCCACCCACTTTCCAACCACGCCTATTAAGGCCAATTAAACTGACTGTTTACTGTACATGCAGCATTACATGCAGCATTAAGTCAAATATACATGATCCTTATGGCCTAATAGTTTACACTGTCACCAGAAAAAGCCATAAAGGCCCAGTGTTAGGGGTAATTTCTGACAAGCAACATAGCCTTGAAGTGGTGACATGAGGGCCACGGACTAGCAATGACTGAAAGACTGCTTTTAATTAATGAAAGCAACAGCAAGGCCAACATGTGACACAAGAAAATTCCAAAATTGCGACTTAGGCGGCAGTTGTGAAATTAAGACGGAGGACATTAAGTAGAATGCTAATAATATACCCGTGAAATAGATAGCTAGCTAACTAATTACTAACTTTGTGCTATTGGTTGCCTAAGTCTAATTGGTTAAAGAAATAGGCGAGCCATGACAGGTAAACTAGTGCACGTGTGCTACTCAAGGGCACGCAATTTCAAATATTTTTAAACGCACTTACAAAAACTGAAACAATTGTACATGCTTTATCTTCGTATAATTTGACATGTTCGCATTTCTGTATCTATTCATTTGTCTATTGAGTTGTCACTCTAGTAAACGCATGTGCCCTTGTCATGCCTCACTGAATTCCTATGTTTTGTCTATTATTGAGCGCTAACTCCTATTTCATCCTAATATTTCATGAGTATATTATTTGCTCTCTACCCCCTCCAATTAATAAGGGTCTCATCAAAGATATGCCTGCATGCTTAAGCTATTTCTCACCCTAACTCGTTGCCATTTGATATTCCCTTGCTCAAGCAAGCTTGTCAGCAATTTTTCAATCCCTTCAACTTGTTTATTTTGTGTATCTTGCCAGGTCTTCAGACTTCCCAAATGCAAGAGCTGGTTTTCATTCAAGTCTTCTTTCACTGAATTTAAAAGCTCAAGTTTTGGTAAGAGCTTGTATTCTTGTGCTCGAAGCTCTAAAGTGAACTCCGAGAGCTGCTTCAAGCATCTGGAATTATCTTCTAGTGGTCCAACTTCACCAATTAACTTTATAAGCACTTTATACATGGTCTGTGAACTTTCACTTTGAAATTCACACATCCGCAGCATTTCTCTTGCTTCGTCTGGGGTCATTCTGTTGTGTTCTGATCTATGAGGTTTAGCTTGTTTAGATTTTTGTGTTGCTGTTACTTCATCATCATCACTGTCACTGTCAATTCGTACTTTTCTCATTCTCTTGCGTAGCTGTGCCAACTCTTCAGAGACACGGCGAAGGCTTTCTTGTCTTCGCTCTTCCCTTGTTTTTCTTGAATTTCTAGCTGCGTACATCATTCTTTCTAAAACTCTCTCATCATCTACAATCTGTAAACAAATGATAAATATTTAATAGTAGATTGGTTATAGATCTAAGATGATGTTTGGGGAGGTGGCACTGTTACCAAGAATGTCCATATTCAAACATCCTCTAAAGTGTGGCAATTCAAACCTTGAACACTTTTGCAATCCCCCACCCTTTCAATAATGACTTTATACTGTACGTAGCAACTTTTCCTATAACAAAACTATGAATAAATGAATGTTTTCAATTGCCAGCAATCTTAAACTTTAAACTTAATTGGATTTACCACTCGACCATGGTGGACGGAAAGCCTAACAGGTTTTGCAACCCACTTAATAAGGCTACCCATAGATCAAATTAGAATACAGAGAGAACCAAGGAACAATATTTATTCTGATCAAATACAACACCGAGCGCTCTAACCACTACACTACCAGTGCTTCCTTCCAGTGCTTCCTTCCTACAGTGCAGGCACTGAAACTTTGAACACTTCTGCCACCTCACATCATCTATTATTACCTTAAGCCATGTGATATCCTCTATTTTCTTGCCTTAATCCATTGTGATATGAAAAACATGCATAGTCTTCTTTGATTCTCACTCCACATCATCTAAATAATAGCCTTAAATCTACCTGTACTACCATTCTTAAATTTAGCATCTTGCCAACAATGCTGCAGGGTGAGATATGTTTACATGATGAAAATAGTAGACGCACCATGCAGCTTCCTGTTGCCATGCAATGTTGTGAGAAAAATTTACGCAATTTGAGTATCTGAACAGATCACAATAATTGTGATCTGTTCAGATATTCATGAGTATGCTATGATTGTTTGTTGCTTTACAAAAATGTATTAAGTTGGTGTAATTGGTGGATGATTTATGGAACAGAGGGATATAGACGCAGGGTTTATGGGAACCTAATGGGTGATGAACATGCCCTAATTCTGTCACTTTTACCTTTTCAACATTCCAGTCATGATTTTCATCTGTGACTTCTTTGACAATATATTTTCTACCTGTACTACCATCCTCACACAGCAATACCTACAATAAAGATCTATAACATTAGGGTATGTTAAATAAGAAATATGAGAAATAGGTCCTTGAAGTTCTCATATGAGACTTGGTAGCACAGTGGTTAGTGATTGCATGGTTAGAATTTTTTCTTAGTCTTTAAAGTTGCAGCTGCATAAGTTGCTTGATATACAGCGAGGGTCAGCTCAACTTGATACAATGCAACCAAAATACAAATATATAGTTTTTTTAATATATTATATTCTCATGTTTAAAGCAGAGCATCTGATAGAGTGCGAGGGTGCGATTTGCAGTACTGACCTAAAATTGCACCAAATCTCACTATAATTTATTGTTTTCAACACTATTTGTCATTTTCCACACTATTTTCTGCCCAAATTTCAAAAAAATAGCCACAATAAATCACCAAATTTATTAAATATTTCTTCTGAACTAAAATTAACTTCTGAATTTATTATTTCTAGGAAGATTTTAATGCTTTACAGTGAATTTTAGGTTCTAAAAACACATTAGTTTATGTGCATTCTCGATTGTTGGTCAGAAATCAACCAGGCATTCCTTATAAATCAGGATGTTTTTGGTAGGTCAATGAGCAGGAAATAACAATTAAAATCTTCATTTGAAATAAATTAAACTTCCTATAATATGCTAAATATTAGAATTTCCGCACTATTATGCACTATTTCCAAAACCTTCCGCACTTTTCTGCACTCCTTTTTTTCCCCTGCACTCTACCAAAATTGCTCTGGTAAAGGGTCAGTTGTAGTGCTATGAATAAAGCACTATACACAATAAATCAGGAGGGAGGTTATTCCAATCAGTAGACCTGCTTTTTTTTCATTTCAGACTACGTTATTTCATAGAGTATAGCATAATTCCTCTGTTTAACCCTTTGCCTCCTATGAATGTATGTCACTGATTTTACCATGGTGGAAAAACAACGTGTTAGCAGTCTACGCCACCCATCCTACACAAATCTTATGGACAAAATCTAAGATGGCAGCCAGGAGCTGGAGTGTTGCTAGAAACCCTGGGAGGGTAGAGCTTTTACAACAGTTGTTCATAAAAACTAACATGAAAATGGATCAACTCAAACAAAGAATAATAATTAAATGAATAATAATGAAAATTATTTTTGCTCATTGATAAAACATAAAAAAAATTATTATTATCATCATTAAATTAATAATAATCCCTTAAATGAATTTTCAAGTTTTTTTCCCTTTGTATTTTTGAACATAAAGGGTAGGTTTGAGGGAAAGAGAAGACTACCTATGGCCTGATATCAATGTCAATGACTGCAGGAATAAAAGTATTTTATACTCACAGAAGTATCTGGTTGAGTGTAGTCTGTAGTGATGCCAACTTTGATATTTAGATTTAATGGTTTATCAATATGTTGTATTGCTGGTGGTGCTGTACTCTCCAATCCTACAACTCCTAGAAATACAAACTAATAACAATTAATAAAATAATAATCTTTTGACTTTTAGGGATTGAAAATTACGCCGAGTGGATCCGCATACTACTTTGACAATGTGATGGCGAAATTTATTGTCAATAAGAGGACAGACACATAAAAATCTGATGTCAATTTGTTTTTTACAATAACAAAAACGATAAAAACTTCTCATTTTTAGCGATCAAAACAACCAACGGAAAGAGCACGCGCTCCTTGACGTCAGCTTTATCTGTCTGTCCTCTTATTGATGATAAAAAATTACCAATCAGCGCATGAGAAATTTGTAAGTTATCGTAAAAAAATTTTTGGAATACCAACCAATCTGAGAAAATTGGGGACTAAATAATGTGAACAATAAAATTTGATGCTCGCTTTGTTTGTTTGTTAATTTGTTTGTTTGTTTGTTTGGTAATTTGGGGGCTCAAACAAAATGATGGTTTTTTGAATTTGGACCTGACACCCTTCAGAAGATATTGGCTACGGCCCTACAGACCTATTTCATTGTGGTGCATTGTTTCACTGGCATTACCGGCCATTTATATAATTGTCATTCCCTAGAGAACTAATAATTTCCTTGATTGAGTTGTATCCATTTTCATTTGTGTAACCTCACGTGCAACCGTCAAACAAAAGAAATCATTACACTTTAGTAAAAAACGAAGAAAAAATGAAAAAAAAAAAAATGGTTACACATGGTCTGTAAGAACGTTGCATTACTATAAAAAAGGTCTAAAATGAGCAGACCTACTCAATTGGTTTCAAAGTTCAATAAAATGCCAAAATTAAGGTATTGCATGGTTATTGTGCCAGAATATGCAAGGTTAGGTCTCACTATATAAGACACAGTGCAAATGTCTACTCACCTATGAATTTATCAGCGACATCTTTTCTTTTAATCCTAAGTAATGCCTGCTCCAGGGTCCCCACAGTAGCATATTTCCCTTCTTGTTGTTTCCACGTTGCGATCATGTCACTTGCTTTATCCTTTGAATTACTGTTATCCGTATCAATGTTTTTTAGCTTGGCAGAATTAATGTGGAGTATTGGACCAATACTCTTCCAACATGTCCCAAGTTCTTCTAATATGTCAATAATTTTGTCATCTGTGACTACAGAATCTCTTATAGTTATTTCACCTGAAAAATAGTTAAATGTGCAATATCAAATTGCTAGAACTGCAAATTATACAGACCTTATTTTGCACTATAAATATTCCTACTAACTTCCAAAACAAAGATATTTCAGTAATCATAAAGAATTACACAACATGTAATGGCACGCAACAGTGAACTAGGGGAAACCCCTTATTTATACTTATTTTACTCCAATAATAATAATAATTAATATAAGCTAATTATTTAAAAATATGATTGTGTATTAATTCTATTACTCTTAAAAATCATTTCCTCGACGTAATACTTGTGTAGGAAATGCCAATATCCTTCTCAAATGATTTATGAAAATAGCACACCCATTTGATGAACCAGCTAGAACAAGATTGGTATATATCAAGCCAATTATCAAATGGAATACTGTTTACAACAAAAATGTGGCATACATTGTACAAAATATATCTAGAACAGGTATATTAAATCTGTTTCAACACTTAATATTATCTTAATTTCAAATCCCCTAATAGGTACTGGGCACAATTACTAAGCACAAAGTAATCTCCTTTATAGTCTCGTTCCACAATCATTCTTTGATCTAAAAACATTTTGACAGCCGGAAGTTGAGTCACGGCTGTTAGTCTAGCTCGCTGCATAATTTATAGCACGTTGTAAAACATTTTATGGGTTTTCACAAGGAAATTGTACAAAAATAAAGCAATGGGCTAGGAATTATTAACCGTTAAGTGTTATAAATGAGCTATTAGAGACAAAAACAAAGAGTTAGAAAATGTAAAATTAAAATTTAGACGAAAAAAGCCCAGTCGTATGAGGCGAGGTGTCGCCAGCTAAAGTAAACATCAAGTAAGCTTATTGTCTCCTTGTTGACTAAAAATCTTATGAAAAATATATACATTACTGACCTGTATAAGATATATCTTCTTTATGTCCATCCCCAATCCCAGAATCGAGCGAATATGAATTTGATTGCAGTCGATGACACTTCTCACAGAGATACTTCTGCGCTTCGGTTGAAGTCGATGACACCCCCTCGCCATCTTTACTTCTTGTGGTCAAAGAAACCTTGTTTGCGGCATCTACTTGGATATTTTCAACCGGTGTAAATACTTCAGAAGAGGCTCCAACCTCTTCAATATTAGTTTCTTTTAAGATCTGAAGTTGTTGTGCTAATATTCTAGAAGAATGTGACAAGTTGGTGTTCGGATGGTCCTCAAAATCGCCTTCGGAATCCTCACCACAGCTGTCGAAGATGTTAGAGAATTCTTCATCGATGTAAGAATCAAAGTTGAAACTGCCCCCGTTGACCTCGTCTGCTTGAGCTCCTCGTTCGGAATCGTCTAAATCCATCGAGTTTTCTGGGTCAGGGTTCTCGGCTACATGGCTTAATACCGTGGCCATATTCGATGACAATATGCGAGCCGTTTGGGAGTATACACACTTGTCAATTTCTAGGACCAGTTATGTAGTTATTTAACCTCCGACGACGGTTAAAACTCTGGTAAATGTAAAGTTAATAGATTAATACGATGGCCTGAGAGGATGTATCAGTTAGCAAAAGAAAATCGGGATTTCTCGACTGAAATTCACTTACACCTTATGTGCAAATTGTTAGGAGAGAATTGACTTATAACTATAGTATATAAAGCTTTAGTTGTTCATGTAAGCAATATATTATTGAAATAAAGTACTCACGTATCACAGTACTCTTTAAAATGCAATTAACCTTGGCAAAACGATAACATACGTTATTAAGTTCATAAATCAACTTGTTTTGAAAGCGATCCTACAAGCTAGGTTAGGGTCACATGTATCCGTAGACAAGTTACCCCCAAAATCAAAAAATTCCTGGCCTCGAGGATTCAGATGATCTCCATAGAAACCAAACCACTATTATCGCCAAACAAAAACAACCAGACCTGCAAAAAATATTACCGCTTCAGTCTCTTCGAAGCTTCACTGCCACATATAAAGCTCGTTTCTCCTGAACATATATTTTTCTTATTAGTGTTGTTGCTCTCCTAACGTGGTCTTGGGCCTGGTTACAGGGCGCTACGTCATTGCTATAATTAGACTAGTACACATGACCTTGAACTTGGATTGTAGTACATGACTAAAATAAACACAAACTATGGTTTTAAATACGGTTTTATCTAGGATAAAACCTTATAATTCGATTTAAACGTTAGCGGATGTTGACATTTTTCTCTTCACCGCTCCCCCATCGTCGAACCCCCGTTTTTCATAATCTTTTTTGCTTTTTTTTAAAGCTTTTTTACTTTCAAAATAAGAAAATAAATTCAGAAAAAAAAATTTTTTTTTAATTTAAAAAATTCTCCTAATCGAAGTTTAATATTATCTTAAGCGTTTTTGTTTTCAAAATAAAAATAAAATAAAATAAAACTTTTTTTCTAATTTTTAAATTTTTTTAAAATAAAATTTTTTTAAACATTTAAAGAAATTCTCCTAATCGAAGTCTGATATTATCTTAAGCTTTCTTGCTTTCAAAATAAAAAATAAAATAAAAAATAAATTAAAAAAATTCTTCTATAATCCCAGTCTAATATATCATTAGATAATAATCGAGGGGGGTGGGGAGGGGGAAGAGGTCGCGTAATTCCCCCTAAAAATATCGATCAAGCGCGGCCTACAAAAAAAATATTGCGACGCTCCCGTCAGTCAAGAAATATCGAGCAAACACACGCAAAAAATATATATACAGGGATTGTCACAGAAAAAATAAATAAATAGGTAAATTATTTAATGGTTCTATATTATGAAACCCGATTTAGTCAGCCAGATGGGTGGGGTTAGTTGCTCTGGTAGTGTAACTGGGACAAGTACTTAATTATCTTCAAAATAAACCCCAAACTGAATGAATGAACAGCTGTCTACGGCAATTTATACTTCAGTGGAATATTGTAGAAAATTTGGGTATTATTTTAGAGGGGGGGGGGAAGGAGGAAATTTGGTTATTATTTTAGAGGGGAGGGGGAAAGGAGGAAATTTGTTATTATTTTAGGGGGAGGGGGTACAATACAATACAACACAATACAATTTATTTGGCACCTTATACTTAAGAGTACATGGGTGATTGGTTCCAAATATATTATAGGTTATATACATACTATGTATTACTAGGTATTTTTCTTATTTCGTTTTCACGTATCAGCTGATATAGCTTTTTGTAGAGACGCTGATTTTGAATTGACTGGGGTAAAGAAGGAAATTTGGAAGATACTGACTGACTAGGTTTAATTGCGAAAAACTCAAATTTCAGCGTGCAGCTCCGAATCTCATGATCAGGGTTCGTATGTTTATTGCAGGATATTTGCAGGAGGAAAAGCAGGATATCATTTATAATTCATTTATTTTTATTTATACATTTTTATTTGTAGCCGTGAAACGGAACTGTTGGCTTTTGCGCTGCAGTGAGAGGATATCCGAAAAAAACTGTGATGAACTCTGGAATCAAGAGACAAAATCTAGCCCTCCCCTAAATTCGCTTCCCTCTGATTCCCCGACACCTGCTTATTTTACTGCGCGGGTACCACAGGGAACCCGGATATATTTTTTTGCTTCTTTCTTGTTTTTTTCCCTAATGGGTTGCCTGTGGTGTGTAACGCACTTTCTAGTAAAACACTGTTTAGTAGAGAGTGCGTTACCAACGGTTATTGGTTTGAATTTAATCGGCTATTAGTTTACAGCGCCGATATGATTACAGCGCGCAGATCTGATTAACACAGGAAACCCACAAAAAGCAAAGTTAATTTCCTAAAAGAAGCATATAGACGGGTTACCTGTGTGGATACTCGAACCGGGACTACTTTGATAAACTGGTAACAACATATCATAAGAACAATTGATGGGTTGCAAGCATTCCCAAGAGAGTTAAAAGACAAAAACATGGCGGCCATTGTGGTACCTTTAACAATGGATGCTAATGAGAAATCTTTTGTTAAATGGTACCAACATGGCCGCGATGACGTAACGTGCAAACGAAGAATTACAGTGATAAGTTTATTGATAGCAACGCTATTAAACCTAGTAGACCTAAAAATAATCCTGATGACAAGGCTAATGCACCAAAAGCTTTCATTTCACTGCCATACATCAGAGGTACGTCAAAGATCATATCACGCATTTTACAACCACATAACATCAGCTTGGCTCATCGACCTATATCCACGCTACGAAAGGTCCTGACTAAGGTTGACAAAGATTGTGACAGCCCGAACGATCGAGTCGGTGCTATTTATAAGATTTCATGTAATGACTGTGAGGCAACATATATCGGTGAGACGGGTAGATCGTTTAATATCAGACGTAAAGAACATCAAAGTGCTGTTGTGAAACAGGATGAACACAATAATATTGCCAGGCATCATACCAAGACTGGTCATACGATAGACTGGGAATCCAGTGAATGCCTTTCTTTTTGTAACAATAGGCAGCAACGACTTGTGCTGGAGAGTTGGTTCACCAAGTTTGAGCATCATCCACTGTACTGATAATAGTGATTAATGTACCAAACATTAACAAAAACACTCTTTAGTAATTACTAGTTGTTGGGTTACCTGTGTAAGTGCCTGCCTTAGGTCAGCGGAATCTCACGTTTTGTAACGACGGCCATGTTTGTGTAAGCACATGGTTTACTTGAATAAAGCCTACTTTCACGRCTTAATCGTGTATATTCTTCACTACATCCACTTAACCGCTCAATTAACTTACCGGCTCCGTATAATAGGCTCATTAGAAACAATAACCGTCCACAACGCCGAAACAGCGACTCGCACTCATTAGACCGATGCCGCCAATTACGTAATTACGCTATAGTTATCGTGACAGTATAAATATGACCAATTTGACTTTATTCTTCACTGACTCTGAAGATGACTTCCGCTCAGCAGGTTGTCGAAACGTCAGTCACATCAAGCAGTCCTTCTCAGGCCTACATCCACCCGGATGATCATAATACTTCTATTAACATTCATTCACCTGGGTTCAGACCGTTCTATTCAATAAACTAGTATGATTAACACTTCATGTTGCAACATTTAGTTCGATATTTTTAACCAGCCAATCAGATAGCACATCGATATAATAAGGGGAGGTCAAAACAATGGTCCAAAATAGGGACCCGATTTTATGAATTAAGCGGTGGGTACCGGTACATACCCCCTCCCCCCTCGGACATCTGTTCAAATGCTCGATAATGAGGGTTGTAGTAGGAATTTCTATACACAAATATGTTTTTTTAGCATACATGCAAACAGACAGTCCATTCATTTCTGTGATTTGGCTTTTAGTTTTGGAGATATTTGGAGACAAAATATAAGATTTCACTTCCAGAGGTGGTGGGTACCGGGTAACACCATCCCTCCCCCTTAAATCGGGTACCGTGAGATGACAATTATTTTGCCTTGATCCCTAAGAGCGTGAGAATGTAGTAATCTAATTGGCTAACACTGTTATTATCTCTGTCTAGTTTACTGTTATCTGATTGGTCAGTTTTATTCAAGTGGTCCTGGTTAGTGTGTCTAGTAAGGCAGTAAACTAAACCGCTGCCATTATTGAGCCCGCATAATGTATTCAAAGGGGGTTTCCCCTAGTATTTGACTGATGGAAGCAAAAAAGGTTTATCACTTGCGTGACTATTCAAGCAAAGTAGTCTCTAGTCAGCTGATCTCAGCTAATTTCCTGCGGACTCCTTTAATCGGCAATGTTACAATACTGATTCATAGATTTTCGTTTACCAGTGTGTACTCATCTATAATACTTCTGTGTCATTATCATATTGTCATTGTCATTTTGTGTAATTATCGTATCAATAAATAAATATGTGATATTTGATATATGGCGTTGTTAAGCTAAATAATTATGAAGCTGATGTCTAAGAATACGTACAGTTAAAAAGTCATAAATATTTTCCGTTATCCGAAGACTGGTTCCATCAAATAAAATACTCTTGCTTATGTCATCAAGGGATTTCTCCCCGCTGCGTCAGTCGTTTATTTCAGATTCCTCGTAAACCAATGATGTTAAATTAAGCTCCTAAGGGGAGGGAAGAGGGGAGAAGCGAGAGGGGGGCAAAAATTTATGTTGCACGATTATTTTCGTAACAAATTCAGCACGAATAGTTTGTGTGTTTGTTCGATATTAATTTTCTGAAATACAGGATGAGCTTTTTTTTTTTTTTTTTTCGTAGTTGAAGTGCTTGCTTGATATTTTTTGGGGGATTGACGCAGCCCACTGCCCACTCTCCGT